ATACCGTTTTTTAAAGGACAGAAAGGGCTTTAAATTGAAGAAACATATATATATATATATACTTATTTATTATAAAAAAATACAGAAAAATGCAAAAGAAAAATAAAAAAACGTGTTTTTTTTACAGTTTTTGCAATAATAATGTGTGCATAATTAGTGCAGGTTAAGGAAAGTAATTAAAAATAAATTCATTTAGTTGTTCTGATTTACAGAATATATAATGTGTCTGGGATTTTAAGTTTTTTTGGTAGTTACAGGTCACAAAGCACAAGGAGTAAAATAAACTTTTAATGTGGAGCGATTTTAGAATTTGGTATGTTTGTCTTGTAAGCTTAATAGCCATAAAAGAAAACAAAATTGCCACACAAAAGTATATATTTATATAAAGTAGACATCACGGGCTATTTACCTAAGGTTGTTTTGACACTTTCTACGTAGCCATTTCACCACCAACCTCTGCTAAATATTGAAGTAAAATTGTGTTTTTTTTTGGTTTTTGGCACACAAACTTATAACAAATAAATTCTCATGTATATTTTGTAATATTGGTGTACAAAGTTTTATTTTGTGTTCAGTTACATCTGCTGAGTAAAATGACACCCCCATTGTATGTCTTTGGCACTATTTCGTGAAGCTACAGTGCCATATAGGATACCTGTCCTTTTCAGTATTCACAGTAGAATTTTGAGAGATGGATTTAATGAGCCTATGCTTCCATTTGGGTTATTATAGTAGTTTGACTGTTCAAAAAAAAAACACAAAGGCCTACCATTTGTAAAAGTAGACACTCCAGGGTATCTCATAAGGTGCATATTGTGCCTTAACATGCCCCCATTCTTTCACCAATATATGCCAAAGGATGAGGTAAAAAATAATTTTGTGCATTTTTTACATACAGATTGCATTTTTGCTGGGCATTTTGTATATTTCATAGGTGCCACTAAGTTCAAACCCCCCAAATTATGCTCAGCTAAGTCTTCTGAGTACAAAGACACCCCCAATGAAGGTCTTTGGCACTATTTCGTGAAGCTACAGTGCCATATAGGAGACCAAGCCATATCAGTTTTTACCGAACTTTGAATTTTGATGCTGGGCCTATGTGCAATTTCCAAGCATCTTCGCAGGTTTTAAATTCAAACTACCCCACAAAGGCCTACCATTTCTTAAAGTAGACACCCCAGGGTATTTCAAAAGGTATATTTTGAACCTTAGCGTGAGATAATTTTTCCGCTAGCTTGTACCAGGTGTAGTGGTGATAAGCATTTTTTTCTGCCTTTTTGACGCACAAAGTGAGTTTGCACAGTATATTTTGCAAACCTTATGTGGGCTACCACTGTATAATACTTCATATGTTGCTCAGCTATGTCGGCTGAGTACAGCAATACCCCCGTATGTATCTTTGCCAGGTATATGTGGACATCGAAGGGGCACATTTGGGACACAGCCATTCCAGTTTTTTTCAAACTTTACATTTTTACACTGTGCCCATGTCCCATTTTAGAGTATTTTACCAGGCTATATAATCCAAATACCCCATAAAGCCATACCATTTCTTAAAGAAGACATCCCAGGGTATTTCAAAAGGCATATTTTGAAACTTAGCGTGGGATCATTTTTCCGCTAGCTTGTACCAAGTATAGTGGTAATAAGCATTTTTTTCTGCCTTTTTGACACAAAAAATGAGTTTGCGCAGTAAAATTTGCAAACCTTATGTGTGCTACAACTGTATAATACTTCATATGTTGCTCAGCTATGTCGGCTGAGTACATCAATACCCCCGTATGTACCTTTGCCGGGTATATGTGGATGTTGAAGGGGCGCATTTGAGACGCAGCCATTCAGTTTTTTTCTAACTTTGAAGTATTACGCTGTGTCCATGTTCCAATTTGGAGTAGTTTAGACGGTTGTTTATTGAAACTTCCCCACAAACACATACTATTTATTAAAGAATACACCCTGAGGTAATTCAAAAGGCATATGTTGAACCTTAGCGTGGGATCATTTTTTCTCTATTCATTTTTTTTAAAACTTTCCTAAACTTTCTTAAAACTTTTTTACAGATTTAACATTTTTCTAAACTTTTTTTTTACCGTTAACCCCTAACTAGCAGTAAGCAGCACTAACAGTAAATTCCCCATTTTCCCATAACTCTCACCCTAGCTAGCAAAATATATAGTTATAAAATATTTTAATTAATTAATTAAATAAATTGAACCCCTGGGGGTTAAAAAATAAATAAAAGTTAATCCTCAGGGGTTAAAAAAAATTAGATCACAGTATAATACTGTGATCTGTAGTTTGATCACTGTAGGCAGTGATCAACTGGCAGGGAAGGGGTTAATTTTTATTTGGACTGGGTAAAGGGGTTGTTTTTTTTATTTTTTACTTAAATGTTATTAAAACTTTTTTAAGCTTAATTTTTAACTTTTTAAAGTTTATTTTAAAACTTTTTTTAACGTTAACCCCTAGTTAGCCTAACGCCAAATCCCCCAATTCCCCACTAACTTCCACCCACCCCAGCTAGCTAAATATATAATTTTAAAATATTTAAATTAATTAAATAAATAAATTTAACCGTGAGGGTTAAAAAAAAAAAGAATTAACCCTCAGGGGTTAAAAAAAAATCAGATGAGAGTAAAATGTAATCCCTGCCAATTGATCACTGTAGTCTGTGATCAATTGGCAGGGAAGGGGTTAATTTTTTATTAAAATAGGTAAAGGGGGGTGGGATTTTAAATTAACTTTATTTTTTTTTCAACAGGGGCAGGATCATCACTGATCCAGGAAGTGCAGGGAGGCGGAAGGTGAGTATATGGAGCACATTCTGTCAGATCGAGCACATGTGCTGGGCAGCCTGATCGGGTGCTCCCGGTCTGCTTCTAATACAGAGGCAGACCGGAGCACCATTAACCCCGCTGCGATCCGGGGTTAATTTTACCGCGTGACGGACGAGGTCCATCACTCGTCATATTATGTGCACCCACACTTATTATATATAATTTTATTCAGGGGAAACAGGGCTTTCATTTAACATCAAATATTTAGGTATAAATCATAATTTAATATGAATAAAATTTTAAAAAATGGGAGAAAATAAGAATTTAAAAACATTTTTTAGTTCTATGTGACATTCTAACTGTGAATTTCATAATACTGTTTGCTTTTACTGCAATAAAATACACATATTTGTATTCAGCAATGTCTCACGTGTAAAACAGTACCCCTTGTGTACAGGTTTTATGGTGTTTTGGGAAGTCACAGGGTAAAATATAGCATGTTACATTTTTCTTTTTTTCACATTGAAATTTTTGGGTTGTCTATTTTTGCAAATGGTATGCCAGTATGGGGGCAATTCTCATTCCTGGGCTAGCGTACGGTCTCAAAGGCAACATAACCAATCTGGCAAATTTCAATGTGAAAAAACTGAAACGCAAGCCTTATATTTGACTCTCTACCTTTTGAAAACACCATAAAAACTGTACATGAGGGGTACTGTTATACTCTGGAGACTTCGCTGAACACAAATATTAGTGTTTCAAAACCGTAAAACGTATCACAACAATTATATTGTCCGTGTAAGTGCCATTTTGGTGTGAAAAATGCAAAAAATGTCACTTTCACTGACAATATCATCGTTGTAATACATGTTACTGTTTTGAAACACTAATATTTGTGTTCAGCGAAGTCTCCCGAGTAAAACAGTACCCCCATGAACAGGTTTTATGGTGTCTTGGAAAGTTACAGGGTTAAATATAGTGCTAGCAAATGAAATTCCCTGGACTTTTGGCCTGGGTTGTCAGGCTGGTCCTGCTAATTGTAGTTAATAAAATTACCTAATTATGTAAAATTATTACATAACTATATACGTAGAATTATTATATATGTGTGTGTATATAAATATACTGTATGTATATATATGTATATAATTTTTTTAATGATTTTTATTTATATATAGGTACATATATATAGTGATATATACGTATATACTTATGTATATACTTATTATTTAGTTCTACATGTATTTTGATATCAATATATATATATTAATTTTAAAATACAGTTAGAACGAATTTACACATGTATATATATTTTTTTTTATTTTTATTTTTTACCTATTTACATATTTATTTATTTTTGATTATATATAAATATATATATAATGTAAATTATATATTTAATCAATATTATTGTACGTGTATTTTGATATTTATATATAATTATGTATATATTAATATTAAAATACACATTGACAGTGTATGTGTATATATGTGTATGTGTGTATATGTGTATATATATATATATATACTTAGATCATATATATAATAAATATATATATAACCTAAGTATATATAATAAAATTTTACACAGTTTTAACATGTTTTAATTTTATTTCCAGACAGCAGGGGGAGTACCTGTCATTACATGCACTCCCCCTGCTGGCAATGCCTTGGACGGCCATGCCGTCCATGTGATCGCGAGGTCCTTGCAAGGATCTCACGATCACATGGCCCAGTGGGGGCGAAGAGGATGGAGGGGGACTCCCTAGGCTCCCAGGTAAGTCCCCATACCGCGATCGCCGGTGTGGGATCGCCAGTGACCGGCTAAGTACAAAGGACGGTTTGGGAGTTCCATTCCGCCCTCCGGAGTTTAGAGCTGGTTCCTTAAGGACGGCATAGAACGCCCACCGTCCTTAAGGGGTTAATAAGTGATATACCGCTACAACTCTTAAAATCTATAGATATCCCTTGGTAGGAGATAATTAATATCTGCAATGCTTAGAATCAGACTGTCATTTTGAATTTGTTATGGTATTTAATCTGGGTTTTAAACTGTAATTTGCTGCCCCAAACTCTGTGCAGCTGATTGATGTAGATGTGGTGTTGGGAAACTGTTCCTGATATAACTATTGTACAGCGCTACAGAATTTGCTGACGCTATATAAATAATAAAATAATAATAACAACATATATTTAAGGCTCGGCCCGTAGTTGTGGGAGGGGCTTGGGTCCCCTTTATAAGGGCATCCAATCCCCTCCCACTTTACCATGGGTGGTCTGGCGAGTTACCCTTACCTGTATCCTCGTTGTCTGGTCTCCTGGCTTGCTGTCCGTTTTCTTCATGTTTGCCGACCACCGGTTATCACCTCCATCGTGGTTTACCTGTACCATCGCTTCGCGGAGGTCTTGGTGCTGCTGCTGCCGGGTGCCTGTCTGATTCGCGGGGTCCGATTGCTAAATAGTGAGTTGGCCTGATGGATGCCTCTCGGCATGCCGTTGGGACTGGTTGCTCGGGCCCATTTTGTCTCTCCGGATACAGCTCTGCGGAATCTATTGCCGCTTTATAAATACCAGTAATATGTTTGTCTTTCTCTCCTCAGGTTAAATTCGGCAACAACAAAAAAAAGTTTCTTCTCAAAAGATAATTCTACAGTTTTACTGTATCCGCCTTGAAAGGTCAATGTAAGCAATGAGTTTTTTTAGTCCCTGTCTCACATTTTTTTCTTACCCCTTTTTTGGACCAGTTTAACAAAACCCACACCTCCCTGCTCTGGACAAATAATGTAGAAATGAAAAAAAAAGGATTTGGAGACTTTCCAAGACATGTTCTGGTGCCAATGAGTGACCCGCATCGCTGCGTTTAGAATAAGTCTAATGGAGATGTAGAAAGGCTGGACTTTGATTTTCATTAGTACTCATCACACATTTCCTTACTTAGCTAACCTCTCTAACCAAAATCCACCACTAAAGAGACATTGAGATTGTATATCAAAAAATGCAAAAATAAGCGCAGTTATGCCAATATGCCTACCCTGTTAACCTCATTGTTCACTCCTTACTTGCTTTTGCTGTTGTGGCATAGCGAGAATGCTTGTTACTCTCAGGCACGTCAAATATAAATATTTTTTTTTTTAAATGCAAAAACAAAACAAAATAATAATAAAGTTGAAGTATTGGCATTTGCTGCTAATGCTCAACAAGTACGGCATTTGAAGTATTTTTTCACTAAACCAGAAAGTGACTGATACTCTCTTACCTCGGCACTACTGAGTAGTGGTTGAACTAAACCTAAATGATGACATCACACACAGCAGTATTTTTGGACCAATTATGGAAAAAGATGCAAAAAGGGGCAGCAAATGTGAGGTTGTGAAGCAACAGGTAAAAAGATCAATGCAAATAAACACCCAGCATGGCAAACATATTTATATTAGGGAATAAGTTAAAGACTACTGTGTTAGAAAAGTTAAGATATGCATGGGTGAGTGGCTATTCACATTTGTTGTGATGGGTTAATTTAGAAAGTATTTTTTTAAAGTATCTCCTCACGCATCAGAAAAGGCTTTGGCCATGCCCTGATTTTTTGTTAATTAGAAAATAATGGCAATACAATGTAGCTCATAACTTAACGGCGTATGTATTATCGTTATGAAATTATTTAGTACGTTGGAAAACAAAAGGGCATAGGTCATCGAGGTCAGCCTATCCAGAAAACATGTAGAAGATGTCTAGTCAGGAATGGAAAACGTATAGCATATTTAATCCCTTAAAGCGGCACTGTCATGCCGAACTTACCTTTCCTCAATATCTTCCTCTTCTCCCCCTCTCTCAGGATCTGTTCTTCTTTTCTTCCTGTCTTCTTTAGTTTTCTTTAAAATCATAAGACAAAGTAGGGACTCTTTGCCTTATGGAGGTTTCCTCCGCTTGACCAGCTTTGACCAGCGGAGGAGCAAAGTGTGCCTCATTTCTGCTGGTCAGAGCAATTTTTCCATAATTCTTACATTTCCTCAGTGATCTCGCGATGCTTCCTGTCATTTTAGACGAAACTGACGAATTGCGTTCTAACTGAATAAGAACAGTATGTTCGTTTCTTTTAGAACTCAATTCGGCACTTTGGAACGCAATTTCATTCAAATGAATGAAACTCCGATCCTATTCATTGCCGCGGCTGCATCTTGCAGCCGCTTAGTAGATAACTCCCTAATTCCCACAGTATTAGGGAGTTATCTACCAAAAGGCTGAGAGACCTAAATTGGTCTTTCAGACAACTTTACTAATACTAAGTAAAAATTAGTATTAGTAAATGATCTGCCCCTACTCGCTATACCGCGAGTAGGGGCATGTCTAGTAAGCAGTGAGCAGCCAGTGGCCTATGCGACGGGTGGGGGCCCTAAAGATAATGAGGGGGGGCACCTACTGTCCTCCCCCCGGCCCCCACCCCTGCGTGGTGGGTGGGGTCCATAAAGATAATATGGGGGGGGACCTACTGTCCTCCCCCTGGCCCCCACCCCTGCACGGTGGGTGGGGGCCATAAATTACAATGGGGGGACCTACTGTCCTCCCCCCAGCCCCCATCCCTGCGCGGTGGGTAGGGGCCATAAAATACAATGGGGGGACCTACTGTCCTCCACCCACCTCCCATCAAAGGTGATTAGGGGTCCCCAAGCCCCTAGTCACCCACCCAATAAAAAAGTAACCCCCTACTTGCCCCCCTCACCCTAAAAAATAGTGAGTGGGGAATAAAATAACTAACCTGTAAAGAAAAATTAAACTTACCATTTGACGTCTTCTTTTTTCTAAAATCTTAATTTTTCAGCCCCAAAAAAGACCAAATAAAAAACCATCATACCCGTCGAACTAAAAATAAAATAAAAAACCTGAGCGCAAAAAAATAATCCATCTTCACCCATGGAGGGCTCCGCGCAGACTGATCTCTGCAGGGCGGGGCAACGCTTATAAAGCCTTTCCCCGCCCTGCAATTAGGCTAAGAACACTCTGATTGGCTGGTTTAAGCCAATCAGAGTGCTCTTTGTCATTTTACACAGCGTGGGAAAATTCCAAAGAACTTTCCCACGCTGTGTAAAATGACACAGAGCACTCTGATTGGGTGGCTTGAAATCCATCCAATCAGAGTGCTTTGTGTCATTTTACACAGCGTGGGAAAGTTCTTTGGAATTTTCCCACGCTGTGTAAAATGACAAAGAGCACTCTGATTGGTTAGATTCCAAGCCCACCAATCAGAGTGTTATGAGTCAAATTACACAGCGTGGGAAAGTTCTTTGGAATTTTCCCATGCTGTGTAATAAACTCAACACTCTGATTGGTGGGCTTGGAATCTAACCAATCAGAGTGCTCAAGGGTGGGGGCCGGGGGGAGGACAGTAGGTCCCTCCCCATTGTAATTTATGGCCCCCACCCTCCACGCAGGGGTGGGGGCCAAGGGGAGGACAATAGGTCCTTCCCCATTGTTATTTAGGGCCCCCACACGCCGTACAGGGGTGGGGGCCAGATAGTAGTTTTTTGTTTGTTTTTTACAGTGCGCAGCCACAGGCTACTCACTGTTTAGTGGACATGCCCCTACTCGCTATATAGCGAGTAGGGGCATTCGGGAGATTTTAATCTCCCTTATGCTATTCTGGTGGTCATATTGACCCCCATAGAGTGCGGGAGGACATGGGGGGCTTAGGAAGTGATGGGGAGCATAGCTCCCTGATGCTTCTATCTTTACATATTACAAGGAGGGAGCTGCACGCCAGTAGCTCCCTCCTTGTAATAAACTAAACGAACACTGATAATCGTCTGACAATGCTATTCATTCATTCGTCTTTCTGAGCATGTGCGGGAATCTCCCAGTCTATCTAGTGTGGGCAGATGACGTGTCCCACAGGGACTTCATCTACCCACACAAAGATGGCGGCGCCCAGAATATAGATCGGGGCAGAAAATAAAGAATAAAAAATAGGTAATATGACTGGCTTAGGGGCCTTTGGGGGTGACTAGGGGGTCAGTTAGATGTAGTGGAGTCGGGAGGGAGGTTAAAAAAAATGGGATTCGGCCATGACAGTGCCGCTTTAAGGACCAAACTTCTGGAATAAAAGGGAATCATGACATGTCACACATGTCATGTGTCCTTAAAGGACCACTATAGGCACCCAGACCACTTCAGCTTAATGAGGTGGTCTGGGTGCCTGGTCCATCTAGGGTTAACCCTTTTTTCTATAAACATAGCAGTTTCAGAGACAGACAGAGACTGTGTAGTGTTTTAAACTAGAGAGAGAGGGCAGTGTATTAATTTGAAGGAATGAGTGGGCAGTGTATTCATTTTAGGGAGGGGGCACTGAATTAATGTGGGGGAGGGAGTGTGCCAGTGTATTAATTTGGGGGGGGGTAGTGTGTTCATTTTAGGGAGGGAGGGGGCAGTGTATTAATTTGGAAGAGGGAGGGGGAATTGGATTAGAGTGGTTGGAGGGGTCAGTGTGCTAAATTGGGGGGAGGGCAGTGTACTAATTTGAGGGAGGGAGAGGGGTAGTGTATTAGAGTGGTGGGAGGAAGCAGTGTGTTAAATTGGGGGAGGGATGGGGAAGTGTATTATATTGGGGGAGGAAGGGCAGTACATGTATTAAATTAGAGTGCTGGGAGGAGGAGCAGTGTATTCAATTAGAGTGGAAGAAGGGCAGTGTATTAGATTAAAAGGCAGTGTATTAGATTGGGTGGAGGGGGCAGTGTATTAGAGTGGAGGGAGAGGGGGCGGTGTTTTGGATTATCTGCCAGTGTATTAGAATGGGAGGAGGGGTCAGTGTGTTGAATTTGGGGGCAATGTATTGGATTTGTGGGCAGTGTATTAGAATAGGGCAGTATATTAAATTGGGTCTGCATGGAGGAGCTGAACGCTCCCCATGGAGATGCTGATTGGCCGCGCAGCTTTTTGCCACACATGCACAATAGCCTCCCAATGCTTTCCTATGGGAAAGCACTGGATTGGTTGAAATCATCAAGTTTGATGATCTCAGCCAAATTGAAGAACACACTCATCGGATTTCAAAATCAACAAGATAACGTAATTTGTTTTTTACAGCCGTGCAACAGCATACATTCACCATTTCAGTCCCATTACCAAACTTTTCTTAATATGTCAAGGTAGTTGGACTGAAACATTGGTTATATGCAAATGCACGTCTCCTTAAAATAAATTAGCTTTTTTGTTTACTTTGAAGTCCTATGAGTGTTAGGACGTCCAGTGTCAGTTAGGCAATTTTTTTATACTGTACTTTTCTAAATAAATCTACGTTTCTCAAAAAAACAAAGTTTTTGGGTTTTTTAGCGGCCCACTTAAACTTAAACTTTGTTTATTTGGCCCGTGTTAGCCTTTGAGTTTGACATACTTGTTTTACAGTCTTTCTTCGTGTCATCTGGGCCTAACTCTACCGTCCCCCTCATCCCATCCCCTGGAGAA